TACAATTAAAAGTGACTAGCTACTCTAGGTAATTTCATCTTTCACCACCATCGGTCGTGTAGTAAATATGATTTGTAGTTTGTCAACATTAAAAGTTCTTTGAATAGATTTTCTCAACCTGTTAGTAATTTAGTAATTTCACTAGATGCGTCACCCTTGAATTGCAATCGTATGTATAAAGTGGCTTCTTGTTTACGGATAGTGAATAGTCCTTTTCCGCCGCTTTCTTTGTCATGTGTTTCTTGATCAATTTATCTGGATAACCATTTTCGATCAAAGTATCATATACAATGCTTAATTCATCTTCACTTGCTTCTTCTGAGCATACAGCTCTAACTATGTGGCTGAGAGTCTTCACTGAATATCTTTTCTATTGGAGTGTGTATATTATCCTGTCCATGTGCTTTTCCTAAGCAAGTTTCTCTTTATGCTACCATCTGGTTTTCTTGTAAGCAGGATATCCAGGAAGGCAATTCCATTTTGGTGGATTCCTCTTCACACGTCAAAATGTAGCTTAATTCTTCAAAGAAGCAGTGATAAAGTATTGTGTCTCGCGTACTACTGACAAGATATTGTGAGTAGTATATTGTGTGTGTGCGAAAATTAAATAGCGAAAAGGGAAAAAACAAACCAAACTTCCTCCTTATGAAAGCAACCATTAAAAAATGAAGGAAAAACTAAAAAACAAGCCGTAATACTAAGAACGCATGCACAAGTCAAAGATTTCAATGTCTAAGGTTCCTGCCTTAATTTCAAGGATTGATATAATAATCATAATAACACCTTTATTTCAAATAATATTTTTGACCCAATATGGAATTTTCAGGATGTAGTACAGTATGTTGCATCTAACTCTCTCTCTCTCTCTACAGGGGTGATAATTAAGACAGGGCATTCATTATCATATATTTTTATTCCCCTGAGTTCAGAGTGGAATAACAACACATCTGCACCTTCTTCTATTCTCTGGTGCCGTCTTCCCCTGGCTATCTCCACTAATGCCCATAATCTGTCATCTCCTCCCCTTCACCACCACATGATCTCTTCCACATCACTCCGACACCGATGAAATACTCGTCACTTCTCATTAGGATTCCAGTCGGGCAATGACCTACACAGAGCACAGTGTCATTCGACGACCTCTTCAATGTATACCCTATCCATCCATCCATCCATCTGCATTTTCTTCTACACATTTGTAGAACAGTCGGCTCCCACCTTTTGGTTTGTTGCGAGTCAGAATGTCTTGTAGCCAATTCTTCTTTGTGGCCGGCCGGCCAGTTGGCTGGCTGGCTAATCATTTGGTCTTCAGTATGGACCCAGAGAAGTGTGAAGCTGTTGATAAAAATTCTGATGTAACTTATTGGAAACCCTTTTCGTGAATAAGAGCGCAATTCAAGTTTCTGACACGCATAGAAGCACCAGCTGGCCGACTGACTGACTGACTGACTCCACATTTGTGTTGTACAGAATCCGAATGTTGTTTCGTCACGTTGGCTGGTTGAGTGAGAGCGGAAGAATTCCAAACTAGTTTCAGGTTGATACAGGCGTATCTTAGACAGGTCATTCATACTGATAATATTGTTCAATAAGACTATGTGAATACAAAATTAAATCAAGTGTGAAAATATTGACAACAACATAATTAAATGGAAATAGTAGGGGGCCGTTTAACTTAATTTTTCTCAGTAAGTTGGTAGTCCCCTTCCTCACACACTTACTTCCTCATCATATAAAATGTGTGCCTGCAACAATAAGGTATCGTAGAGTTTTTTTGTTTTTACTTAGTCGTCTGAGCATACAGTCTTCCATAGTTACTTCTGGTTCTATCCAATGAGAGATGCAGCAACGAGAGAGTTGTGTATATAGGAGAAGAGATGCTCAGAGTCCGACAAGACAATACTAACTAATCTCTTGCCATAGTCCATGAGATTATCGACAACAGTATTAACGAGAGTTGGTTGAGCGACAACCCACTGACCTTATTGATAGCTTTTAATGTCTTTCGCAGTATAATAAAGTCTTTTTATCATAGTAATAATAATAATAATAATTTTGCTTTATTCCAAAACAGTACTTGTGATACAGAATAGAATTCTCAGCATTTCACTACAGTATTGCATCCAGTGTGTACTTTAACACAATAAATAAAATTCTACATAGATTAAGGGTAATCTCAGTTAGTTTTGACAACAACATATTGGCATGTCAGTAGCAAAGTCAGAAATGAATAGAGTGTTTGAAGGTGTTAGAAGAGTAGATACTACTGGCATATTTACTGGCGTAAGCAATAGCAAAATGGTCGAGGTATACAGAGTGGGAAAGAACGAACAAGAAAGTTTTAAGTAGAGTTTGTAAGGAAGAAAGAAACAAAGTAACACATAACAGAGAAAAAAGAGATAGAGAGAAAAAGAAAAGAAAGAAAGAAAAACGTTGTACCTATGAATGATATGAGTTCGAAAGACGAGATCCAGTTGTTCTACTGACTATTTAATAAATTATAGGTATCACGCCTAATGCTTTCTTTATCGCACAGAACACGAGCTAAGTAGGGAGGGTATGGTTGAGTTTTAGTACTTGCTAGTGCGAGCATATAGTTTCCTATGTAGGTTTCTGGTTGTGCCTGATGAGATACAAGAGGAGAGTTGTGAATGAAGAGGGTGGTGTGAGTTAGGTAGAATGGATTTAGCCCATCTTTCACATGGGTCCAAGTGCCTATCAACCAGAATATTAAGAAGCTGGTTAAGTGGCACATTGCTTACTCTGCTGACAACCTTTAACATCCTACGTAATAAGGTATAGTATTTCTTCAGTAGCCCTGGAAAAACTAAGGGGGAGAAACATTTAGATCCAGCTTGACGTACTGGACAGCCAACTGTTTCGTCCGCCTAGTTAGAGACTCATCGTCAGTACCCACCTACACCAGAGTAGGTTAGTCGAACCCACCTCCTTCGGGTTACAAGTCTACTTTATAGACCGTTCAAGCAATTTTATCACTTCGTCATTTTAGTGATACCATCAACTGATGAGGATATCAAAGCACGAAGATCGGGAAAGCAGGGCAAACTTTCTTAACCCTCAAGTCTGTGTGGAGGTCAACACTAAGCAATCAGCATGAAATATAAGATCCAGATTTTCAACTCCAATGTAAAGTCAGTGCTACTTACTATGCGGATCAGAGACTTGGCACCGTGTTACGAAGGCCACTTCAAACAATCTACAGACCTTCATCATCAACAGCTAGTTGTCTTCGCTCAATACTACTCAAGATCAGATGGCCGGCCTGGAAAATTCACCGACAGGGAAGGACCTCTTGCAATGAACGAACCAACTGTGCGACAAACATGCAGGAAGAAATAGAGGTGGATTGGCCATACTCTGAGAAAACAAGCCATCAAGTGAGGGATATCACGCACCAGGCCATTGCTCGTTTGGAACCCAAAAGAGAAGCAGGGAGTTGGTCAGTCAGTGAGAGGGTGACAAAATGTAGGAGGTGAGGTGAAGAGGAGATGAAAGGATGTAGGTAGACGTGGAGCCAGGTGATGAAAACGTTGGCGGAGAACCGAAAGCATTGAAGACGTGCGGCTGAATCCCTATAATAATACCAACGAAGGTCATCCGTGGCGAGTATTTGTCCCCAATCCCAACCTGTGCATGTACCCCACTGTAGTCATAACTTCTCAATATAACCCACTCCAGGCAACTTGATTATCCCCTAGTTAGCCAGTGAGTTACTCGCGAGCATCAGATTAATTTTCAAGTGGGCAAATTCTGTAGGAATTTTCGCCTGGTTTCAAGTTTTAACAACGGATCGCTAATAAAACCAATTAGGCAACCAAATATCACCCCTTGCCCTAGCATTTCACAATTCTTTCCTCATTTCAGTAAAAGGCATTTCTTCACATCAAAGAAAGTTAAATTGTAGACAACTGTAAAGAAAAATATCACGACGATTACGTAATCCCCCCAAACAGTCTCTGTCTCCTAAACACATATATGCCTACATATATGTATATAGGCAGGTTTATGCCTTCATAAGAAAGGATGAAATTTCAAACTAAGCATGCGTTTCATTTCTGTTTAAATTTGTTTCTTAAAGCAGAATGGAGCCTAATTCTCTTCTATTTCCCCTTCACCTACCGCAGGGAATTTTTCCACAAAGCTTCAGACTGTAATGCATAATGATAATAATAATTATTATAGCAGCAAAAATAATAAATGCCTTTTCCCCTAATAAATTCCCTCTTCACCAATTTCTGGCGATTACTATACTTATTTTACTTATTTTCTCTTTTAAATATTGAAATAAGCAAAATTAAACTGTGATTGGTTACCATGGTCACGAATTCTGTGTACATATATTTGTATATATGCATGCATAATGACATATATTTGACATACTATCTATTGAGACGCTTTAGAATTCACAATCGGTTAATGAATAATTGATCAATCAGTCGTCTGTTCAATGATTCAAGGTGGGCGCGACATAATTCATTATATTTTAAACAAAATTCCCTGGAGTATTCCGTCTCTCTCTCTCTCTTTCTCCCTCATTTTTATTAGAGTCGTAAATAAAATAGACATTTTAAGAGTGTATTTTTCAATTATCTAACGTTTTCTGCCATGTCTGCGTACCCTTTAAATATACACACATTAATTATTATGATTATTATTGTTGTTAATATTAAATAATTTCATCATTTGTCACCCCTGTCTTTTGTTTTTGCGCAACATTTAATCCCAACCAATCAGAATGATCCATTTGTAAAAGGCGGGAAATCATTTTACAGCTGACCAATCAGAATCAAGATAGGTAAAAAATAAATGTTTTTACACAGGAAAAAAGAACTTTGCTTGCCGTATAAAAGGATATATTATATAATGTCTATCTATATATGATGTACTCAAAGCAATAATTAATAAATAACTGGGAAACAATTACGGTGAACAAGAGATTTGGGGCAAAGTGTATCAAGTCTCTTCGCCTCTCTCTTCAGCTTTCTGCCGCTTTCTTTGTATCTACCGAAATAATTATGTCAAATAATAAACGACCTTCATTTATGGTTCATGATTTATTACAACAAGAAACTGATGAGACACAGACGTTAAAATATTGGCAGCTACAAGAGTTACTTGACTTTCAAACACATAAAAAGTCTCTTCTTGATCAGAGTAGCAATAATAATTATAATAATAATGATTGTAGAATTAACCCGAACACAAATAATATTGCTACTGCTACGTCTCTTATTAACACTACAAATACGACTACTGATATCAGTGATATAAGTAGTTTTTGTCCAATTTATCATGATAAAACAAACCTGTTCAATGATCAACATTGTAAATGGGATACAGCATCACAACGTTTCAACGTTTACACCAATGACTGGAATAAACATCTTTCTGGAATACAGCACAAAGAATTTTTGAATCGAAAGGACGAAGGTAATAATAATTCGTTTTCTTGTTTTCTCCTTTTGATTATGATGTAACCTTGGTTATTAATTGGAGAGGTGGGAGGGGGGGGCATACATTTAAATTATAAAATGATTAGTGGATAAGATCGCCAGACAAACTCTTGAGCAAGGCCTGAATGGGGAGCGAGTGACGAGGTGGGTATCACTTTGAGGGGGACATGGAGTGGATGGGTGAGGGAGGGATTGAAGCTCATAAGTAATCATGGAGCCACCTAAAATAAAGGTTACAAAAACACGGTGAAATTGAGGTGAGTCTCAGGTAAGTTCCATTCAAAAATCAAGGGAATAATAATAACAGTGGGTTAAATCAATGAAACTGAAAATAGCCATCCAGGCATGAATATATGAACACACAAAGTTCAGAGAAGAGTCTCTCTCTTTTCGACGGCGAATTCATCCATCACTTAGCTGTAAAATCGCATTTATATATGAAATTATTTTGTGTGTGTGCATGTGTGTGTGTGTACATTGGAATGCCAAATAAAAATAGAATAAAAATTATCAAGTTTTAATTTTGTAAGGATTTTGTTTGATTGGTTAGAAGATTTCACCATGAACTGATATCAGTTAGGGAGCCATTGAAAAATCAACTGGGATTACGGGACAGCCAGCTGTTTTATCAGCCTAGTTTTTGACCCTCCAGCAGTATGCACCCCCATTGCCAGGGTTCAAAACTAGGACCTTTTGGTTACAAGGTTAGCAAGCTCGTAGACCATTGTACCACTACGACCCGATCCATTCGGTACAGCAGATTGAAGTTGAGGTAGTGACTCATCGAAGAAGAAGAAGACATTGTGAAGTGGTCGCGCTATTTCATGAACTGGCGGAAGTTAGAATTCATGGGCTGGCCGTTAGATCGGGTCCTAGTGGCTTAATGGTCTACGAGCTCGCTGACCTTGTAACCAGAAGGTAATGGGTTTCAACCCTGCAGTCTGGATGCGTACTACTGAAGCGGGCTGGGCTGGCGAAAGAGCTGGCTGTCTAGTACTCCATTGGAGGTTTTCAAATTGGTCTCTAACTAGTCTCAGCTCATGATGAAATCCTCCAATGAGAGTCACTGATTACGTGCTCAAAATGTTTCTATAATGTGACAAATAATCAAAATTGTAACTAGGGGCTAACTGTGGTTCAATAAAGAGTGCTCACAATTGAGCATGTGGTCAACTCTAGTGTCCCTCAGTATATGTTAGGAGAATTCTCTCAAAGTCATCTAAAAAGTCAAAAGAAGCCTCCTGAAAACGGTAAGCTTCCGTATACTTTGTATTGTCGAGGAGGCCTTAATGATCCGGATAGAAAACCCTGATTTATGCACACACAGAAGAAATTTCTCTACCTCCTCCTTCTACCCTTGGGGGGTAGAATTCTAAGTTCTACGACTTTGTTAACAATGTTTTTTTTGTTTTTGAATTTTCGTGTGGCATCTTAGTGACATCTTCTTAACTAACCTTTTATTTACTCCTTCTACCTATTGAATAATTTACTTTTTGCACACGTGTCTTCATTAACATCCTATTTCATAGTATGCAAACCTTGTCAATACCTACCAGTCTCTGCTCCGCCCCCACCTCTTAGTTACAATTCTGATTATTCATCCCCATATTACAGAAACATTCTGTTGACATAAACAATAACCCTAACTAAATTTTGTTTGACAATCCTAATGTAATGTACACATACACACATAAAATAACTATATGTAAACATGACTGTACTGTGTTAAGTGATGAATGAATTCGCCATGGAAAAGAGACTCTTTGCTGAACTTTGTTGTTCTCATAAATCGCTGAAAATCTACTTTTCATGTTTGCTGTCGGTCATCTGGATAGGCAAACTTATCAGTATGAGGTGACGGCACTGATTTCTGCCTTTATCTTCACTGCTCTAAGTTCCAAGTGGAACATGAACTTCAAAGCTTTAAGCTGTGAAGTTTCAGTAGAGGTGATATTTGTTTTATTTAACGGATGGGGTGGGGGTGGGTGAGATGGGACTGAGAGTTTCATGACCAACCCTCCTATTTTCTTTGGGCTTACAACTAGCACGGTAGACAGACTTAAGATGTTTGTTAACCTGAAATTGAACCCGAACTACTTCAGCCTTCGATGAGTATTCTGTTACGTAGCCATCAATGCACATATATGACACACGTGACATTCAGTTCCGAGGTCAGAAATATGTCTGAGAAGTTAATCAATTTTTAGATGATCTTCTGTGTAGAACTGATAATTTCCATAGGAATCATCAACGCCTCAGCAGTGCAAAGTACACAGAAGCATACCGGAAAGTTTCTTTTGACTTTGTAGATAACTTTGAATGAGATCTCCTTGCATATTAAATAGTTGGTGTTAAATTATAGTGCTCTTCATTGATCCACTCTTACCTTTACGTGGCCAAACGCGATGATATTCTTTAACTGTGTTACGCGTAAAACATGCTCACTCAACATGAGCAGGTAAATTATTAGATACACACAGAAGTGATTAAATGCGGTAGTTTATCTTTAGAGTTGTTAGAGTACATTGGGTATTAAGAGAATACCAGTTGTAATGAAAAAGTAGAACATGTTCTTTTCAGGGCGTTTAATGTCCTTTTTCCATAGAGTATCGGTGGAAAAGTTTCCTTTGAACGCCACATTCATGTAAACCGTCTTCTTCGACAAATAGATGTGGTTGTAATTCGTTGGTATGCAGTTTTATGGGTTGCCTCCAAAGCCTCAGGATGGTCGGGGGTGGGTGCCTTGCGCTGCGGGTTGGCCACCCCTCCGTACACCTCTTGAAATGCTCTCATATGACCGGGCGTTTTACATAGCCTCTCCTGAGGAAGTCCTACTCACTGCCTTCACGTGGCGGAGGTGTTTTTTTTCACCAAAGTGAGAGGGCAAAAGCGGATGCCCGGCGCTCTTCACCGGGTTGACTGTCCATTGAATGACAGTCTAGGGGAGATGGCTAAACCCTGATTCCAAACCTCCAACGACTGGCGCATGAAGCTCACCAGAGCTCACCAGTAGGCAGACGTATGGACAAAGGGCTTATTGGATGCCCTGGATGACTGGCCCCATTTAAAAAGGCGAATGAACCGGACTCAAGTCACCGGCTGCCAATGGATAGTGGACTTCTTACTCCAATCTTACTACCTTGTAGGTCACACTTGGTTGTGTAAAGGCTAGAGCTGCACTCTCAAACAAAAGGCCGAGCGATGCTGGGGACATCACTCGTACCCAATTCCCATGAAACTTCATGGTTCATGAAGCCGGCTCATCCTCCCGTAGGAGATAGCCGAAGTAAAGTAAAAGTAAGTAAGTTTTATGTGTTAATCTATGAAACCTGGAGAGTAGTCATTTTCAAGTTGTGTCTCCCTCAAAAGGATGATTTCTTCACATATATAGTTTACATTCTTTAAACAGTCAATGAGCATGCGGTTTGGCCTTAGATTAAACGACATAAAATAGAATGTTCAGATATACATAGTATTCCATTGCTAACGTCATATTGAACTGTGGGAATATATGAGAATAATATTCCGTTGGAACACACTGTCTGTATCAGACAACTACAGGTTAATCATTATTTGATAGAACTGACTTCTTATGATAATCGTGATAGAGACAACATTTGGATGTATTTCTTTTGAATACATAGCATGGACTTGAACTTTTAGATTGCTAGTGTCTTAACTATCCCCAGCAAGATGCTTTGATTTCACTCTCTTTTTAAAAGGTTTGATTGAATTTGGTATATGACTTTGAAGGATTTTTTACCTAATGGAGCTGAATGTCCTGAATATTCATTAGATGTTGCATTACTGAACTGTGTACATCCTTGCATTCTTCGTTTACTAACCATGGTGGATAGGGTTTGTGAGCATGTTTTACAAGCAGATGCATAGTACGGCCAATGTATTCAACTCCACAAGAGTAAGTCAACTGGTATAGGCATGTTGATCGTCTCGTCATTAAATGAAGGTGCCAAATAAGTTCGCTGCACGTTTCTTGACTTCACTTCTGCTTTCGACTCTGTACCTAGATGTCTCTTGCAAAATAAGCTCTCGATGACACATACTGAGTTCTGGGTCACTAACTGATGCATTTCTACTTCTGAAACAGAATGCCGTACACTGTATACAAAAGTAAATCCTCCTCTGCTGTGATCACTGAAGCTGGTGTCCCCAAAGGTTCTGTACTCTCCCCACTTCTCTTTTCTTTATTTCTTTCTACATGACTTACCATCTTCAAATGAAATTAATTTTGTTAAATATGCTGACGAGCTGACTGTATCCTTGCCCGTCAAATGTCAAAGTGACTGCTCCAAACTAAATGGCTTTTTATCAGAAATTAGCCAGTGGTCCAAGGAAAACGGTCTAACCTCAAATCCCTCTAAATGCCAAACAGTCAATTTCACCAATAGGCATAAATCTGACCTAAACAAACTGGTTAACACTCACGAGGTGTGCAACATTGATGGCACTGAAATAGAAACCAAGTCAGAAATTAAATATCTTGGCGTCATTCTATCTGCTGATCTTTCCTGGTCGTCTCATATCTTGATGATCGCCAAGAAAATATTCCGTCTTACCTTCTACATCAAGAAGTTAAGACATTCTGGAATAACCCAACTCTTACTCCTACAATTCGTTAACTCTCGCATTCTGCCTATTATTCTTTATTGTTCCTCTTTAGTTTTTCCAGGGCTACTCAAGAAGGACTGTATCTTATTACTCAGGAGGTTAAAGGTTATCAGCAAGGTAAGCGACGTGCCACTTAACCAGCTTCTTAATATTCTGGACCCATGTGAAAGATGGGCTAAATCCATTCTACCTAACTCACACCACCCTCTTCATTCACAACTCTCCTCTTGTATCTCATCAGGCACAACCAGAAACCTACATAGGAAACTATATGCTCGCACTAGCAAGTACTAAAACTCAACCATACCCTCCCTACTTAGCTCGTGTTCTGTGCGATAAAGAAAGCAT